TCCTTCCTTCCTTCCTTCCTTCCTTCCTTCCTTCCTTCCTTCCTTCCTTCCTTCCTTCTTTTCCCAGTGGTTAGAATGCAGTATTGCAGGCTGCCCACTGCCAGCAGTTCAATCCTGACCGGCTCAAGGTTGACTCAGCCTTCCATCCTTCCGAGGTTGGTGAAATGAGGACCCAGATTGTTGGGGGCAATAGGCTGACTCTGTAAACTGCTTAGAGAGTGCACAGTGAAGTGGTATATAAGTCTAAGTGCTATTGCTATTCAGCAGTTCTAAAAAGGTTCCACAACCAATTGCACCCTGATTCCGGTGACTCCACGGGCACAGATAAATCCCCTAAGTGGCCTCAAGAGCTCTCAAGGAGAGTGCTAACAACCAGATGACTGCAAAGAAATACAATCCTTCCATCCCCCCTCCCATCCTATCAGAACCCATCCTCCATCCCTCCCCCATCCAATCCTCAACTGTCAGTCTTATCCTTCCATCCCCCTGCCATCAGAACGGATGAAGCTTCTTGGATGAGGAGTGAAACATTTTCTTCTTCTTCCTCAAGAGGAAAAAAAAAAACAGTCCAGTTGCCTTTTGAAGAAAAAAAAAAAGCACCTTTGAGATACTGTCCTATAGGATGCCAAGGAGACCTATCAGGTCTAACCACAGTTCCGCCTTAACTAAGACTGCTCCAAATAACGTGTTTTGGAATGCTCTAAAATCTGGCCACTTGCATTGTGCGGGGTTTCCTTGAGAGAGAAACAGATGGAGAAAGGAAATGGAATGATTCCATTATGAACAATCTAGAACTGAAATCAAATAGTGCCTGTTTCCTTTGGTTTCACAGTTCTAAAGGTTCAGCATAGCATTTGTAATGTTTGGGATAGTAAGATGCTCTGCTCCCAATTTCACCGTACTTCCAATTTCATCCATTCCAATATCCTTCTAATGTGCTTCAGTTCCACAGACATCTGGCTTGGAGTAAAGAGGGAAGGAAAGGAGTGGCAGAACCTTGGGGTGGAGTTAAAAAGAGGGATCGGCGTAGAATCCCTATGTAGCCACAAGTGGACTAAATCCAATCTCCGTTAAATTATGTTGATCCTTATCTAACTCCAAGCAGGTGCTAACCGTGAATTGAGAATATTCCCATGCATAGGCAAGAGTAGCAATAAATCAGTTTAATTGGACCTTCATGTGTAGATCTGATCTTTCACCCCTGACATAGAGGGAGCAACTGAATGTCAGATTGTACAATTGTACATGATGTGAGTTATTTCATTCTGGTCACAACATGATGGTATCAGGACACTGGCGATGTTGTTGTGTCTTGTCATAGATATCCATGTGTTATGTCTCACCTGTACAAAAGAAGTGAGAAGTCCAAATTTCCAACTGAATACAAACAAGCATGCAAAACCAGTAATTATAGAGTTAAATTCCTTGAGCCGATAAAGTTCTTGGCAGTCTCCCACACGCTGTCTGCCAAGTCCGACAAGAAAGCAGGAATACAAATCATACAAGCTGTCACCGCACACAGGATACTCCGAAGCTTCTCTCCATAAGTAACACGTTGTCCCGAACAAGTTCCCAGAGCGAACACACCCACTTTTATTCCCTGTGGGGCGTGTCAGTCCCTCATCTCAATCTCTGATTCGTCCCTTCCTCCCGCGTTGCAGCTCGCACTTTTGCCTACGCCGCTGCCTCGCATCAAGCCAGCATTCCTCTGCTTGATTCTCAGTCAGAGACTCTGATACGCCCTCCTCCTTTTCCTGATTAGCCTCAGGTCTTCCCTCCCGGTTATCTGCTGACACCTGAGGCACAATCAGGGAGGAAGGCATTGCCGAAGAGGAAGGTCCTGGGGAGGAAGGCATTTCCAAAACCTCCTCTTCCCCATTGTCCGAGTTTTCATCCTCTAATAAAGCAGGCTCAAACCTCAGAGCCACAACATCCATGTATGGTTTCTCTAAATTTTAGAACGGTGATAGTGAACCTATGGCATGTGTGAGACGTCGCTCCACCTTAGCTGTGCCACACATGTGTGCATGCCTCCCACCTGTCAGGTGGTCTTTGGGTCTGCTATGCAGGGAGCATGTGGGGGGCGCATGTGGGGGAGACACGCGCACATGCGCAGGGATGCAAGTGTATGCATTGGAGGTGGGGCGCATGCATGGGGAACATGCATGCATGCACAGGGAAAATGTGTGTATTGCGTTTTGGGAATGTACATGCATGCGTGCGCTTTGGGCACTCGGTGCCAAAAAGGTTATGTCATGCCCCTGTCGGAATCTGACTCAAAGGAAGAAGCCAAACAGCTGACAGGGAGTGGGAGTGTGGCTCCATTGGCTGTGGAAGAAACTGGGGAAGGGCAAAGTCCGGCTGGGCAGAGCAGGGAGAGGAAGAACAAGGCAGAGGGAATTCAGAGGAAGACCCAGGCCTACCCCCTCTTCATCCTAGGGCACGCAGGGAGGAATGGAGAAGGGAGCAACGTGGGTTGTGTGACTTACGGGGGAGGAAAGGGCCCTGATTCCCTTCATTAGCCCAGCTAATGAACACAAGTGTATAAAAGAGGAAGCTGCACACAGCAAGTTGTTGGGAGCAAATGTGAATTTATCAGGTATCGTCGTGGCTTATCTGTGTTCCTGGCATCTTCCCAACTGTGTGAGTTTTGCCGTGCTTTCAAGTCTCAAATTCCTTTTCCTGCCCTGTCAAGTTAATTACTTCAGCTTAGTTTTTTTGGATTTTTAGTTACAGTTTGTGTGTACCTTGTTTTGGACTGAATTTTCTACAGTTAAAGGCTGTTCCTGGGAGAGTTTTTCTCCAGCTGAAGGTAGCCTGGACATTGGGGGCAAAGTTGGAGATAATAAAGTGACTCATTGCTTCTTTGACTGTGTTGCCTTTGTGCTATGCCCCGGATCATCACAGGTTAGCTATCACTGTTCTAGAACCTCTTCCCCTTCTCTGTCAATGATCTGATGATGTTCTAACAGCCTTGGCCCAGCAAAGTCCACGGCCCAAATATAGTAGGCTTCCTGACAAGATTGGCCTCTTTTTTTTCCCTGCAGGATGTCCCTACCAAGCTGGTAGCTAAGGCAGTGGCCCTGCCAATGACGGTGAGGGGTCACTGGTTTCTGAGTCCCAGGACAGAGTACAGTGTGGCCGTGCAGACTGCAGTGAAGCAAAGCGATGGAGAGTACCTCGTCTCTGGATGGAGTGAGACTGTTGAATTCTGCACAGGAGGTGAGTGGGCAAGGAAAAGGGCCAATAGAAAAGGAGATTTCCATGCTTACCTGGTAGATTTCCTGCAACGGGTAAGGTGTTCTGGTGAAACCATCAGCAGTCCCGTACTGTGGGAGATGACCAGGATGAGCCCTTGGGAGGAGTCAAATGCATCATAAGCCACGAGTCCCTTTGTGCCCACAAGAGATCTAAGTCCAGCTCACCCTTTTGAATTCTACAGAGCCCTGCACACCCGAACAACTAGACACAAGGACAGTTTTTCCCCAAACGCCATCACTCTGCTAAACAAATTCCCTCAACACTGTCCAACTATTTACAAAGTCTGCACTACTATCTATTAATCTCATCGTTCCTATCACCCATCCCCTCCCTCTTATGACTGTACGACTGTAACTTTGTCGCTTGTATCCTTACAATTTATATGGACTGTTTCCTAGTATGATTTGATTGCTTATTGTACCCTATGACTCTCATTAAGTGTTGTCCCTGATGATTCTTGACTCTTGACAAATGTATCTTTTCTTTTATGTTCACTGAGAGTATTTACACCAAGAATAAATTCCTTGTGTGTCCAATCACACTTGGCCAATAAAAGTATTCTATTCTATTCTATTCTATTCTATTCTATTCTATTCTATTCTATTCTATTCTATTCTATTCTTATTGTACCCTATGACTATCATTAAGTGTTGTCCCTGATGATTCTTGACTCTTGACGAATGTATCTTTTCTTTTATGTCCACTGAGAGCATTTACACCAATTCCTTGTGTGTCCAATCACACTTGGCCAATAAAAGTATTCTATTCTATTCTATTCTATTCTATTCTATTCTATTCTATTCTATTCTATTCTATTCTATTCTATCCTATCCTATCCTATCCTATTCCTTTTCTATTCTATTCTATTCTATTCTATTCTATTCCCTTTTCTATTCCTATTGTACCCTATGACTATCATTAAGTGTTGTCCCTGATGATTCTTGACTCTTGACAAATGTATCTTTTCTTTTATGTACACTGAGAGCATTTACACCAAGACAAATTCCTTGTGTGTCCAATCACACTTGGCCAATAAAAGTATTCTATTCTATTCTATTCTGTTCTGTTCTGTTCTGTTCTGTTCTATTCTATTCTATTCTATTCTATTCTATTCTATTCTATTCTATTCTATTCTATTCTATTCTATTCCATTCTTATTGTACCCTATGACTATCATTAAGTGTTGTCCCTGATGATTCTTGACTCTTGACAAATGTATCTTTTCTTTTATGTCCACTGAGAGCCTTTACACCAAGACAAATTCCTTGTGTGTCCAATCACACTTGGCCAACAAAAGTATTCTATTCTATTCTATTCTGTTCTATTCTATTCTATTCTATTCTATTCTATTCTATTCTATTCTATTCTATTCTATTCTATTCTATTCTATTCTATTCTATTCTATTCTATTCTATTCCATTCTTATTGTACCTATGACTATCACTAAGTGTTGTCCCTGATGATTCTTGACTCTTGACAAATGTATCTTTTCTTCTATGTCCACTGAGAGCATCTACACCAAGACAAATTCCTTGTGTGTCCAATCACACTTGGCCAATAAAGAATTCTATTCTGTTCTATTTCTATTCTTAATTCCCGCACTTTTCCCTTTCCCTTGGCCAGAATCTAGTAGAGAACTGAAGCTTGCAAGAAATCTTTATGCTCATTTGAACTTGACTGAATCTCCCGATTTCCCAGGCATCTGACGCATGCACCCATCCCCAACTGACAAGCTCCATGACATGCCTTGAATTGTTGAGGGTCTTTTTCTACTCATTTTTAAAAATGGAATTTCTGCCTTTTGCCGGTGAAGTTTTAACCAGACACACATGATGCTGTTTCCTGACCTAACTGAAATCAGCTTCCTCCATTCTTCTAGCATTAAGGCCAGTGCAGGCAAAAGCTATGAAATAATTGATGCAACACCAACACTTATTTCTGTATTTTAAAAGGATTCACGTTTAATTCCGTGGACTAACATTACATGTGTAAGGTAACCTTGTAGTGTATCCTGAGGGTTTCGCATGGCTTCCTCATAAACTTAGCTGCTCCCTCCCACCACTTCGCCTCTGGCTTCGGTCTCTTAATGGAGCCACAGTGAACTTGGTTTGGCTTTTCAGTGGCTTCTTTGGCAGAGAAAAGGGCTGCTGGGTTGAATTTCTCTACCCCACCCAGCGCTCCTGTTTCCCTATGAACTACTTTGGCAAAAATAAAGGCTATCGTTTGTGCCTCCCTTTGTGCAATTTCCAGTTTAAAACCCTCACTGTTCTCTCTTTTGTAAAATAATTTTTATTAAAGCTTTTTTAAAAGAAAAAATTAATGCAAACTAATATAAAGCAAGAGAAAGAAAAAAGAAACAAATCAAAGAGAAAGCTAAAAGTGCAAGAAAGGGGGGGGGAGTAAAAGAAGACTAGAAACAAAGATAAATAGCTTCAGAATAGAATAGAATAGAATAGAATAGAATAGAATAGAATAGAATAG